GATGCGTCCGTTGGGGAAAAGTCAAGTGGGAGATACTGACGACATCCAGCCTTTCTTCGGTGATTCAAGAATGGAAGGCGCAACGCAGGACGAGAAGTGGTAACGGAGGCGGGAAAATACGAAACGATAAAGCAAACCGAGTGACTTTCACTCGTAACACCTCAGTGTCTGGTAAACGGCAGTAGTCGTCAAGCAATTTTCGTTCCCAAAAAATCTTGGCCGTGACGTTATTTGTATTGTCATTAAACAACGAGCATTTTCCTTGTGTTGCTGGCGATCACTCCTATATGCAATTTAGGACCGATCTGACAGGACTAATTTCGCTACCGTCGAACATAGCAGATTTCACTCGTGAGTGACAGAAACAACAAAATGAAAAAAATAGGCAAATTCTCATCTTTTGGCAAATTGACGAGGTTGTCGATGACGATGATCATAACCATGGAACTAATGACAATGATGGTACTAATGGAAATGGCTTTCCCTCGTTGTTCGCAATCTCCGAAGTCTCAATTAGTAACAACAACGAACAATCCATAGATGTTTGCCCTCCACAGAAGAGGACGACCAACTTCATGATGTTGGTGGCGATTCCGACAGCGGTAAAATGAGCAACTACGAAAACGACCGCCACGATTAAAGCAGAGACAGCGAATTCAACATCGGCAGTACGGCGCGGGCATGGACTCAGCGTGCCGTTTGCGGCAATCGCATGAGCCAGATAAGACCGTTTCTACTCGTATATTACACATATAAACAGAAGCGCGCACGCAACCAGCCAATCGACGAGACCCTACTCGTCGATGGACAACGTCCACAGTGTGTACTTCTGTGTATGTGTACAGACAGCCGCATACGAATGTATGATCATGTGTGTATTTTTAATGAACGAACGGGTGGATGGATGAACGAAGTCCCCGACAAACCAACAGTATCTTCCCGTTCGGCTAATCACTTGAGGCTAACTAGCTCCGGCGAAGGATTTGAAGAAGTAGCCGAATGATGGAGGAATAGCAGAAGCAACGGTGGCCGGTCAACGGCAAGAGCACCAACGGCTACTGAGCAGGCACTCCAGCCGGCCAGTGGTTTGTCGTACGGATTATCCAGGTAGCAGTCGTGGTAGGTGTAGGTAGGTGGTGGCAAGGACAACTCACGACCTTTTTTCGGCCGACAGCTAACTACGATGACTACAGCGACGTCGAAACTCATCTCGAGCGTCGTAAGAAAGGGCACCGCACGAAGAGAAGAGGGCAGACAGACATTGGAAAAGGAGATGTTATCGTTACGATGAAGGATAATAGATGTCGTATGAAGGTTCCAGTATTAGTGCTATAGTTACCAGCAGCAAACCGGTCTACTATATATTATTTGTATTTGCAGCCCTCATCAAGAGTTGAATCACGCAATCAGATATATAGATAGTGCAGCGAATGCGAAGAAAGACAACGAAGAAAAGAGAGGTGCCAAGTTAAGTAGAAACGAGATTTCAGGCTGGATGATAGCAATGGACGTTACTGGATGATAGAAATTAGTCTTGGTACACAAGATTAGGGGTTATGTAAAGGTGATTCAAGGGTTCTGTTAGGTCTGTGTACTATGCTTGTATTTCAGAAGTAATTGAAAACGATGCTTAGTTATATTGAAGTGGTGAGCGATTTGACAATAATGACGTTCTATAATGATCCATACGTTATTAGTGTATAATTACACCCATCCAGTTGAAATCTACCGTCTCTAACCAAACGCTGTATCGCGAAAACCGTTACTTACGTGTTTCGCTTACGTTAAATCGTTCGCTACATATTGATCAATATCCGTAATAGCCAAATCAGCTTGTTACGGTTGGATTTCGTTTTGTGTGCAACAGAAAAGGCCCATTTTCTGGCCAACGGTAATAGGGTCGTTTTATTTACAGGGCTCCAGGTGCCTTATAGATGTTGTTTGGTGAAACAAAAGTTTTACAACAGCCTGGAATGACTGGACAAGTCGAAACTGCATTGCAACCAGGGTTAGGCAGGAATTCTGGAATAATCGTTATAAACTTGGTCTGTTCGGCGGTTAAGTTCGTTGGATGGTTGATGTTGAAATACTATTTCCGTAATGCGGACGGACTATCATGGACCCACTTCTGCCCCCGACCTTCCTTTATGATCGGCCATTAGATTCCTACGTAGTATAAAGGCTAATTAGGGTATTAGCAGCAAAATCTCTTTCTGAGTGTTTCTCCTTTTTCCTGTCTAGAATCTAGCCATACACACTATGCTACTCCGTTCTGAACGTTCATTGAATTGTTTACACTCAAGAGAATAATATATGAAAACGTCGATGAAAATATCGGACGAACAAAGAAGTATCTTACCAATCAGCGTCGAAAACGGGACCACATTAAACGCAGCCGATTTCACGACGTAGCTATACGTGTATAATTGTAGAGCTATACGTCTATAATTGTAGCATTAGTAAAAAGAAAGCCTAGATGGCGCACTTCGCGAATATAGAACAAGCCCCACACCCCCACCGAGTAATTGCTATAGTGGCGATAATCGTCGAAGTTCGGGGGACGGTGCCGACAATATTCTAGCTGACGAAAGCTTAACAAGCAAACCCAAGTAAATAGCATATAATCACAGTGCTTCCTAGCAATGACATCAGTAAGCATCTGGCCACTGCAAGAATCTGCTATAACCAGGTCTGTCTGTGTAAGAAGCATTCTCATTTGATCGTTCGTTTACGTCGGAGTATCGTAAGGGGAAAGGCTGGCAAACTATGAATGCTGTGTGTCCTGCAATAGACCCAAACATGATGGATTGAGAATATAATATCGTAAGTGATTGTAATACGCTAGGTTGTGCCAGAACCTGTATAGTGGTTCCACACTTATCGAAATCTCTCCCATTGGCTAATACCTAAGCAGGTAGGGGTTTCGGTGGTCACGCCACCACTGCCATCCGCAGATGTTGATCAAAACTTCTCTGAAACCCAACCTATGACCTTATATTTAATACAAGTCTTTTATCCTTATCTTTATAAAACCGTATGCCTTGCTATTCTCACTCTTTATTTTTATTAATAATATGATTATACTACTATTATTATCTTACTATTGTTTCTAAGACTATTGATACGTACGGGTACGTCCCGAGAATTTTGACCGTCGTCGTCTGTGATACCATACAAGCGCCGTGCTATAGCAACGTTTCCGCACCAAGCCAATGAGCACAAGCAGATCTTATTGGTGCACCTGTTGGATGGATTCGACTACCCGGTATTATCCGGTGCATCGCGCGGTGGATCTCGGTAGCGATGACAACAACAACAACAGCAGAAATAGATAACTGGTTTGTACGTGATCGGCATTCGGGTCTACTTGTCATTGTGGCCAGAGCAATGAAGACTTTTTGACGAAATGAGAAAGAGACGCGAGGCAAGAAATCAGTAGGCTATACCAACTACGCTAGTAGTAGGACCGCTAGATCAACTCCTGTCAGTGCGTCTTCTGCTAATCGTGTCCGTGTGGTCGGATAATTCCCCTTTCGCTCCGTTTTGCCGCTATCAATATCGCCACGATCGCTACCTAGGCCGCTTTCGTTCATCCCAATTGTTTCGTCGTGTTGACCAGCTGCCGTGACAACCTTCGTCGTAGCCGTCCCCTAACCGTGTCCGTCCCTTCCCGTCCGTTCGTCACGTGAAACGCCACTTAAGCTATAGCAATAAGCGGGAGACAGCGGGAACCTGACAAGCAACCAGTGTATATGCTATTCGGACAGACAGATTTGAGTTAGCGGCAGTCGACCATCGGGTTACTGTCTCGGCCTCTCGTTACCTGCTGTGCGTGCCGTGACAAATTCCTCCCGAGAAATTTGGACGGTCTTTTGGATTTCGATTGTCCGAAGAGACAGTCCTGTCGCCGTAGGTCTACTGTGCCCACACAGCCAAAGCTTGTCTAGCTACTGCCGAATAAGCGACCTGCTTCACGCACCGATCGCTGCTGCAGGATGCTCGTGCACTGTGCCAAGCTCCGGGCTATAGCATGAATCATGTCGGAGCCCCCACCACTTAGCATGCTTCGTGGCGCTCACGTGTCTCTTCGGGGTCGCTCGCTTGCGCGTTTAGCTCAGCGTCGGTTAGCCTGTAATTGGTATATTGTAACTTCGTATACTGACGAACTGCCGCTTTTTGTACCTGGCCGATAAGCGATGGATCTAGAGAAACTCACAGCAAGGTAACATGAACGAGAGAACCTAAAGACAAGACCGCGTTAGCAGCAAAAAGAAAGCTGTTCGTCATGAAATAAATCTCATCGGCTGAGTAGTTAGTTTATTGGAGCCGTTTGTGCTTGAGTTTACGCTGATTTAGTCTCAGTACTGATACGAGCCAACTGTAGTCGCTGATACAAACAATCGACAGAAACAGCACTAGAGAACAAGAGGTTCTGAACTGTCGCACCAGAGGGTTTTACCTTAACGAACGTTCTTCTAATATCACAGTAGTAAAAACTGTTAAGCTCTTAATGAAACGGATGGCCCGCAAGGACACTGTTTTCGATCGATGCCACCAGCAAGCCAAAATGGGCAAAGCAATAAGGTTGGTTCAATGTTAATGACAAGCAACTAACCGTATACCCTCAAAAGTTAAGGTGTTTAGGTGTAGTATACTTTCATTTGTAAGCAAACATCGACACGTTTTGAAAAGGCTTTACCAGCATTTTTCTATGAGACCTACTCGATCTGCGGCAACACCAGTGCATTTCTCGTAGCGTTTCTACTCAACGAGTAAATGCTATCGGCCCTGTTCCACTTTGTTTTAGGTTTAAAGGAAACTCAAGGGTTTATGCCATGTTCTACGGCATAAGTAAAAATGTATCAAATAATGGTGTCGCAAACTCTGAATTCGATCCTCATATATCCTATTCAATTCTTATTTAATCCTATTTAATATCACAGTGTTACATCAGTCTATACATACATGCACTGCCTAATGCTAACCTGTTTTTACCACAGTGCCTCACCTTCGTTCAACAATGACCTAAGCCACCACCCAAAGAGGACAACATTTTAATATGACATCGTCACGCAAAAACAACGTTGCCGGCAAAGCAGCTACCAGACATCAACGATAATCAAACATTTACGACGAAACGGAGGCGTAAATTTGATCGCAACACGGAGTTCCATTGTTCCTCAACACGCGTGTATATATATATATATACACGCGTGTATATAGATAAGACATACACATATGGAGTAGCAGGTAATATTAGACAATCACAAAACTGAGTCCATTTGTGCTAGTCATTGCCGTCGTACGATTCGCGCCATGTTAATCGTGTGAATTTTTTACCTATCCTCTATCGTCCTACCTTGTTATTGTCTATCGAGCCTACATCTGACTACCAAAAGGCCAGCGCCAACATTCGTTGCTACTAAATATACGTACGTAGATAAGTCGCCTTTGCGATGATTATCACAGGAACTGTTACCGCTAGCTGACTAGGGCCTGCTGCAACTACGTGTATTAGACTAGAATTGATAACACCGCTACGACCAACATCAATAGAGCCTAAATATGACGACAACGACAAGAAGGCAGCCAGCCAGTCGGCTTTCGCGCGGACGCCCCAGCCGCTGCTGCCCTAGATGCCGTAAGCAATGCGTAATCCGTCATGCCGAAAAGCATCGATCTTGAGCATGCACGGCCATTGTAACCACTCATCATTATCAGCATGGCCATCGTTTTCTTCGTAACAAAGCTACAGTCGTAGCCGTAGTAGCAAGCATAGTCAATATCCCACAAGTACTTACAGTAGCGTTTGCTCTCTTTTGTGAATGTTGAAGCCGTTATTATTATAGTCGATGCAGCACAAGGAACGGGAGCAGCTACAATAGCACGACGGCTGCCAACGGCAACGGTAACAAAGATATCGAGGATAGCTGCTACTGCTGCTGCTGTTGTTGTTGTTGTTACGGCTCATAAGTTCACTGAGAAACTTTTTGAGGAATTTCTATTTGTCGTAAGTGTCCTTATCTTTTCGACTCTCATCCATTTCGTTTTGTACTACTGCACTTAATGCAATAGTTTTTGTCCCACTCCTCCCACGAACCAGTCTCCGGCCTCTCCTGCAAACGCGATCTTCATCTTCTTACGCGGTCGTTTCTTACGTTTGCGTTCAGCTCCTTTTTGAATGGTTCCGTCGCCAATGCACTCTGTACCTTCGTTTGCAGAAGCTCTCTTGCCTTGTTCCGTCGGCGAACAGCAGGAGCAAGCAAAAACTGATCACCAAACGTTGTCGAAACTGCAACAGCGTTAGCAACGAACTTATCGACTGGAAGCAGGAAACAACAAGCGAAGAGAAAATGCACAGAAAGGAATCAGACATATCAGATATATCTGCCCTTCTTTAACCGTCTCGTTCCCTTTGGAAGTCATTACAGGCAATGAAGACGCGTGCTCGCACTGCCGTCATTTTGACGACGACAATCCTTCACTAACGCTATGCACAGAACATGCAACAACACGTATCGATTTGTTGAGCAAGCGCTCAATACATGTGTACAAGCATGCAGACGCATTATCTGTCATCGGCACCTATAAGGCAATCACCTCGTGTTGCTGACCAACCTGTGAACTGAACTTGTCAATGGCTGAGTAAAAGGTAAAAGACGGTAAGAGGCCAATGAAAGGAAGGTGAAGCCTTGCACTTTGCAACAACGTCAGCGTTGCTGCTAGCGCAAATAAGAAACCTCGTACGTGAACCCTGCACGAACCAATTTTAGCCGATTGATAGTCCTGTAATATTTCAGGGTATGAAACATACCATTAGTAGTAGCAGAAATTTTAGCGGGTGCTGTTACTTTACCAATTAGTACCAATTCTTTAAATTGTACTTATTGCGATATTAGATCAGTGTCTGGTATGTCTCGTTGTCTTCGTGAAGTCTCGAGCAGTATATGTAGACGCGCGAAGGCCGGCTGATGACGGAGTCATGCGGTCACGACTTGTAACTAGACCACCATGGAGCTCGCTCTTCAAGTCAGTCGTCTTTGTGCAATTTTTAGGCAAAATTTGATAAATGACCAAAAAAAAACGGCGCGTGTTTTAATCTTATCAGATTCGGTAGTTGAGAGGAATTACGTGACACTTAATGCTGCTATACCCTTCAGCTCTACCAAGCAAGTGTTACTGCATTCACAGAAATAGACCAGATATATATATATAGTTGCTATGTTATCTATGGACGTCACAGCATTTCGCCCCCAATCGTACTGACGACATATTTAGATACGTATGCAGATAAAAATTATGCATAGCTGAACGTTTCCTGTGAATTAAAATCCTCACGCGTATATATGCGACGTCCGAGATTCTCCGTTCTCAGAACGATAGGCACATCACCGTGTACTCAGTACTAACAGGTACTTGCATAGTTCATCACTGTAGTCTCGCTGCGTTACATGCAAATGTCCAAATGATGCCCCCGAGTCATTTGTGCTCTGCTTGTTTCCGTTCTGAATACGAAAAGGTTGTCCGACGAATGTTTGTTCTTGTTTGTCGTACATAGCATTACCCAACATGCGGATATACAATTAATTGTAGATAGAGAGAATTGGCCTTCTGTATTAGTGATGATGACTTGGCCTTTGCTAAGGTCGTTGTCGAAGGCAGCGGCAGTGACTCGGAAGGACGCCAGTCTTAACTCATCGTCACTCGACTGGAAGAGGGGTGAACGACGACGACAATTGACGTCTACGCCGACAACGATAACAAAAAAGCAACGACCAAATGAACGCCAGTTGCTATTGTTATTTCGTAGTATTATGTATAGTAGACATTATAGATACAAACATATATCAATGCGTACTGCAGCTTAGAAGTGGTCGCTGGTCTGCTAGCCCCCTGTTACATATTCAACCAAAGAAAGAGAAGATAAGATGAAGGAATAGGCAAGCACAGAAGCAGCGGCAGTGGTAGAGCCGTAAACGTATAGTAATCAGATAGATAATAACTGGAGGGAACACCATTGTAGCAAGTGCTTTTGGGTCCTTACTTCTTTATTTGCCGTTTTCCACTGCCGTTTTCCACTGCGCCCACAGCTAATGGTATCGCCGCTGCCAACGTGATGCTAAGCGTAACGCTTGGCTCATTCCAAAGGATGGAAGAATATCGACAAGCCAAATCAGGCCAGGCAAAGACGATGGAAAACAACGCTGGTAAGGAAAATGAAAGCGATTACCAATAGAGACCTCTCTCTAATCAGAAAAGACGTCACTGCGCTTGTTGCTTTTCATGCTCGCCCTGTATTATATATGGTACGTATACTGTAGATTTGCTTATTGATATAACAGATAGAAACTGTTTTCACCGATCGTAGCACCGGTGGAGAGGCAGCAAAAGTTTCCTTTACCACTTTTTTTTTTTAGCAATAATAAGATAAGGAAGCTGGCTGGCTAAAACTGACCGACTTCTCCTTCTGCTGCCTCGAATCCTTAACTGCACACGATACGAAGAGGAGCTCCAACTCTTTCGAAATGATTGCAGATGTATATACATGTGTACGTACAACTACTTGCATACGTCTTCTTCGTTTGAATTCGCCTAAACGTTTTTTAGAATTGAGTAATGGTAATTAGGGCCACAGTCATTAGAATAGCAGCGGTAATCACTAGTAATTCAGCGAATAATAACGGTCTTTTATGTGTAATGTATATAACACAAAGTATGTGTTTATCTATACAACATGTTAAATGTGTGTTCTACATTTTCATGTGTTTGTCCAATCTAGGAGACCAAGTAATGGATACATTTCTTCCGAGTATGTGTGTGAAATAAACATATAGGATCTTCTTCTTCACGAAGTAGTTGGTTCGTTATTACATATCGGTGCGATCCGCGTCGCACGTTCGAAGATTCTGTTACGAAATCAATTGCTTTGTTAACGTTTAATTCTCGGGAGGATGCATGTCTTGTGCCATCGGATTCTGTAGATTTATTATATGATGTTATATAATTTGATTCGATCAGCTTATTTCATTGAAATAGTACAGTAGTTGATGTTGAATCAGACTAAAATTTGGTCCGGCGATCGCTTGGTGGCGATGTCGATCCAGAATGGGCTTCCAGGTAGGATGATGGCTATAAAAAGTAAAGCTGCATTCATAATATACTGGCCCAGAATATTAGGCCATAGACCATGAACGGCGTAACTTAGGAGTTCAGAAAATGTAGCTTCTAGCGCACGTAGAGGACCAAATCACCTCTCACAGTGGCAATACTCAGAAGTGGAACATTTCGTTACCTACGCGTTCTAACGGCTAGCTATATGTACTCCAAATATACACGCTAGAATAACTACAAAAAAAAGTCATTTTATGACAGTTTCTACACAGATACCGAGACGTTTTAACCGGCTATGAAGTTACACTTGTAGAAAACTCCGATACCATTATACTACGATAGGAATCGATATAATTTTTCAAAGCTTCAAAGAGTTCTACGCACCAAATGGAAAAACCGCTCTCGTGACGAATGCTCCCATGATTTCTTACTGCTATGCACACGTCGATCGAATCGATTTTGACCCAGAGGTTTAATCAACTGGTTCGGTCAGCAATTATTTGTGAATAGAAATAGGCTCCGGAGGTACAACGTCTGGGGCATTTCAAGAAATTTTGCTATCACTAGGAAATAATGTAGGTTGGCCTCGCATCATTGGCGATGGACTACCCGAAACCGGCGGCCCCCGTCGCTCGATCTCGGCCACGCCATCGACTAGGGTACCACATGCAGCAGAGTAATATTTACTCGAGATCGATTACAAATATTTGAAGGGAGGGCCGAACGATTTGTTTCGTCCTTTTCAAAAGGATAATACTGAAAAGAGCCTAGAAACTCCACAACGAGTTCTCTACTGTTCTGCGAATGATCTTGTATTCAATGTATTTGCCATCTACTAGTGCTATACAGATTAGGAAGACGAGCGTGGATGTCATTCCTTGGGTTTCTAGCGAATATCCGGCTGCGTGTCGTGTGTTAGGCGATCGATCGATCGATTGTGTGTAGGTAGTATGCGTTAGGAAACAACGTGAAGCCGTCAATTGGTTCGCTGTTGACTGGCACTATAAATTTACATGGAGCGTGCACATTTACGCGACTGCCGCTCGGAACGAGTTGTCGACACGCGCGCAAAATAGCATAGCCTTGACGTTTTGAACCAGGGTATAGGTACGTATATAAATAGTGTTCATAACGACTACATTGCGGTAACCTATTCTTCTACGTAAATGAATGCGCTGAACAGTCGTATGTAAGTATGTACGGGTATATGTGAACGCTCAGATGTGCTTACCATAGGAAGTTAGTGGCGAAATTTAGTTAGCTTAAGTAGACAGCATCTCTGCGCCACCGCCCCGCTTCAGCCAGTGCAGGTCTTGTCTAGATGCAAGTGGCAGTCGTCGAAGCTGCCTAACTAGGCCTACCCTATGTCACACGCCGATATAAACTCGGAAGCGGTGAAAGCAGTATGCTGCTTTTGTCTGTCTCATCACTTGCGGTTGTGTTTTGTACGGCTAGAACGAATGGAAGCGCAGTCGGTTAGCTGGGGCTTCTGCTCTTGGCGTTGTTTGCAACAATTCGTCGGCGACAATTGCCAAGCAAATCTTCGCTGTGGCTCCAGCCCCAAAAGCCGACCTGGCAAAGCCTTCGTTCTGCCACCTTTTCTTCCCCTTTTGTTATAGTGCCCAATCTCGTCTCTAGTGTTATTTCCGCTCAACGAAGAAAGAGACAAAACCCGCGCAATCATTGGTGCTACCCCTACGCCGCCGCCCCTGCCGTTGCTCTTGAGTCGTTAACAAGGTTAACATTCGGGTATTGAAGGGAAACGAATGCGAATACAAAAAACGGCAGGAAGGGGGCACGAATGATGGTGGCTTCGACGGTGCTGGTGCACTTGCTTCATTCTCAGCCCAGCCTCTGTTTCGCCTTCCTTGCTATGGCGCTTCCAACAGATAGCAAATACTGACGTTATCGCTATACTGTGGAACTTGCACGAAGCTGCAGTGGTAGGGGTCTAAAGGAATAGTTGATGGGCGCCGGTGTCGTCAAGGGAGCGTCCTCTCTCCTTTCTTTTAGAGTCTTCGTTTTCCCTGAACAACTCGAAGCAACGCACCCCCCTTCATCCCTTTCAGCAGTATGATGGGGCGGGGAGCCGAGGGGCTCTGTGAAGAGGCCTCAGGAAGGTAGTGCAAAGCCCCTAAGGATACCATACAAGGGCTTAATTGCCACGCTGCAACCGGAGCTAGAAGAGCGCATAACAACAGCACATGTCGCGCTGCCCTGAAAGGGGAGCAGGAGGACATGAAGACGCACTCGAGCCCTCCGGGCTACTCACACTTACACAGATACGCTCACATGCACTTTTACGCAGACAGACTACACGTGAACGGACAGACGGACGTACATGTACAGGGAAGAACAGAGGCGCCAGCACTTCCAATGAATGACCAAGAAGTTGGTGCGTCGACCGGTAGTGGAACAGCCGTGGCCACGAAGGCAAAAGCATTTACAAGCTGAGTGCACGCCACAAGAACTGCGTGGCCGCAGTCAATGCACGAAGCAACGAGCAAAGTAGCAAGAGATGCGACCAGGAGGAAGAAATCAGCACTGAGAAAGAGCAGGTAAAGAAGCAAGAGAAAAGCAGGAAGTTGAGGTTGCTGAAACCTAGCATAATTGGAGTTGAAAGAATTTCGCTAGCCTGTACATGGGCCCCCCACGCCCACTTAGTGCGTGAGTGGGCGCGTATGTAAAAGGCAAGACAGATTTCTTTTTCGTTCATTGAAAGCAACAACGACAAAAACGATGACGACAAGCCATCCTAGACTCATTCAGGGACGATCGACAGGCTCAACGCCTGTCTTTGCAATCACTGGTGCAAGCGGCAGAACAGCAATGGCATGTCTCTAGATCGGTCGTCTACGGGTCTCCCTGCTGACTCTGTATATGAGTGTATGTGTATACATAAGTAAGATTGCCTGCCTGACAGTGCTTGCAATGCAAGCCCACGCAGCATCAACCAATCCAGCTGGCGTCAAGGTAAGCAAAGAACTGGGCAGCTGCGGCTGCTGCTACCGCTTATGATGCCGCTGTTGTTAATGTTTTCGTCGTCGTCGGTGGTAACGGCAGCAGCACTGTCTAGGAGGAATGGAAAACTGAAGGGTCTTGATAAGGAAAAAAGGTATCGGAAATTCTGAGTTAAAAGGAACTCTTTGAGGCAGAACAGAGATGTCGTTCCAGTCTACCTTAGTTTTTCCAGAAACAAGGCCGACTATGTGAGCAGGTGATAAGAAACTTAGACATCGCCGCTACTGAAGTTACTTTCTTGCCTAGAGATGCCAGCTGGTTTCATATGCGTTGTGCACCATTTACTCGGTTGCATGATCAATGCAACCGAGGGAAGTTATGGGCTGATGACGTAGTGAACCAACCAAAACCCATCCTTATGGCCAGCCCTAGCCCGGTGGTGGTTAAACAGCCAATGATGGTAATTCTAAGCTAGTAGTGGTCCTGAACGTTTGGATGCTTCACTGAATAGCTAGTGAGACATTATCTGCCTACCGGTCTGTTAGTCCCTGTACACCTTTTGTTTTTCGTTCTATCTTCTACATATACGTAGGAGCACGGACGAGGAGGGTCTTACAAGTTCCGCTGCCAGTGCGGTGCGGGCATGGGCCAACGTGCTGGAAACGTCATACGTGCGTCACCTAGAGTAAGCTGCGCGAAAGTTGTGTTTTCGAAAGGCAACTAGCCCGTAACTTGCGTACTGCTTTAACTGAAATATCAACTCTTCATGACGCTATGGCCTTCATTACCCAGCTGCATGGACGAGATGAATCTGTAAAGGTATATCAGTCCGTTCAATATGTATATTCCATACAGAAAACGCATAAATATACGGAGGCTGATCAAGATCAGTTTGTTAAAAACTAAACCATCAGTATCATTTCTTTTTTACTTTCCTGCTTCGTCAGCATTCACCGAAAACGTATATCTTGTAATGTATTCGTAACTACCCGAATGCCTGGGGTAAACAAAAACTCACATGGCAAATTTGTATTAAAAAAACCCCACAGGGCGTAGTTTCGTATACTGAACACGCAAGGAAAAATACTTTCATACTTACTGATGTACGCTTTCGATTCGAAACCTATTGACTTTCTTTTCCGCTAGAGAAAAGCAGTAACCTTCAGGTCGTCCGCATGTTTTTCATTTTTCAACACATATGTGTATATTACACGTTAGGCAATAGTAAAGCAAAGACCCAAGAAAAATTCAAGACAAACCGTTAAGGGATCGAAATGGTTTTCGCAAACGACGGCTATCTTTGTTAGTATTAGACTTTGTTGACTGTTAAATAGCCATAGAATCGAAGAGCATTATTGTATTGGAGTGCGTATCAAATTTTCGAGTTGTTTAGTGGTAATCAAGAGAAGCGCGCGACGCTGCCTGCCCTGACGTTACCTAGCTGCCCCAAAAGAAGCAGCGGCGCGATAAACGACGGTACTTCGAACTTGAAAACGAACCCGTCATCGAAGGTGTCTACATCTGGAAATAGATGGTTTTTATTATTACTACGGTCTTCACAAGACTCAGAAACATGTACAGGTACAGAATATTGTTGTATCGTAAAACGCAAATTGAAAAATCGATCTTGAATAGGGTTTATGTGTAATAGATATAGAATCATCAGACAGAAATATATACCTAATTTTTTTGCCACTCGTAAGAAAAAAAAATTGGGAACGAACGGCATAATGACGAATGTTGTGTGTAATGTATAATGTACAAAATGTCTACATTTCCTTTGTATGCAAAGTAATCAAAGTTTATTTGGGCTGTATTACGGGAATGTAATATTTTCTGCTCTGACATTTCCATGTACAACTAATGACCGGGGTATGATGGAAAGCCTATCGTGATGGGAGTCATAACTCTAAAAGCAGCAAGAACTTGCATCGAATATCGACGTAACTTACGAATGTCCTCTACGCGCAGAAGGGTTACTGAAACCAAATCATAACCTCTGTCTCTGGTGTGGAAGCCATCGATGCCCACCGTCTCAAACGAGCCTTCACGGTAACCTCCGTGAACAATCGTATACAACATTAGTAACTATCAAGCTATCATCATCCATCTAGCTTAGACAGGCCAAACCTTTGTAGCCATGATCTAATGGCTCCCAGTATCAGACCATATGCGGACAACGAAACTCGGTCAGAGTTTCCATGTTTTCAAATTGTTGTTACTAACGGCATTTGCGCAAAACACATATAAGAGCACCGTTAATGGAGAGCCTAGTCAAACTATTGTCAGTATTTTTTTTAAAAAGCTGTTAGTTTATTTCCTTGTTGGCATATCTAAATGTAGACTTCAGAACATCATTAACATTGCTACACTGGCGGCGAAGACTATATGTAGCTTCTGTACCGGCCGCCGCAGCTTAAAGGTTACAGAAAAATATTGACCGTCTACGGTCAACGGAAATCTAAAGAAACCGCTCGCACACATTACGAACACATAACACATGCAAAGATGTGTGTGTGTGTGTGTGTGTGTTACATCCCCCCCCCCCCCCCCCCCCATTGCTGCTGTTCTGGTAATAGCTAACTGTGTTTTCTAGCGGGAAGCAGTGGTAACAAGTAATGTCATTGTTGTCATTCCCGTAGACCTTTTTTTGCCACGGGCGCTAGCCACTTCGTTGGCAAGACGGTGCGTTATTGCAAAGGCAATGTCATATTCGGAAGCGGTTTTACTATTAGTATTTCAATTTACAATAATAAAAGTACAGGACTCCGTACTGCTGGTTAGGAACATCAGCAGCTGATGCAACCTAAAAAATCCACTCATTCGTATGGTTAGGTCGTTGCGGAAAAAGCGTTAAGTGCATCATTAGAGGGATGCATCCCGTGGACGCTGCTGTTTGTCCATCCGTCCGTCTGTCTGTCTGGCGGGCTATCGATAACGAACGACTAACCTGCTACCTCGTTGCTAGGATATCAACGACTGGCGTTGAGAAGCAGGCGTGAACGGCAAGCAACAAAAGCTCAGTGGCAACAGCTACAGCTGCTCAATGTCCGTAGGTGTACTATTTGGCCGGCATCACTCACTTTGCAGACTGAATGAAATAGTTAGTGATCCTGTGACAATCGGCACGCACGAGGTCGACAGAAAATTTCAATGGGAGAATCAGTGAAGGGGGGAGCATGTGTGAGACTACCGCGCTACTTTGTAATGAAAACGCATGTACCGTGTGTACGCAGCTGGCTTGTCGTTTGTCTACAACGCGTGATATTTAAGCCCATAATAAGTGGACGGGCACAGTATTTGCAACGAAAACATAACTTACTAAAACTATAACGGTTAACCAACATATTTAACCGTATATGTACATATGTACAGCCTTGCTTGATGGCAACTGATGCACACTGACTGGGCATTCGCGAAAAATATTGCTTACTCATGCGTTGCAAGAGGTTTAGTTACAAAGCGAAGCTTCGCAAGAAGTTAGGAGGCCTTATTGTACATGGCCCTAGTGGATATTGGTTTAAAGTTCGACATCGCTATTGGTGATCTCAAACGTAAATTGCCATATTCATTTGACAGCGTCACAATCGCCTGCCGTACTAACATCAATAGTGTTCTGTGTGTTTCAGGTAAGGGTCCGTCTCGCCTGACAACGTAGCTGTAAGTACTGTGATAAACCGCTATATAGGTGCCCTGTCTATTGTAGACGTTTCGTAAATGAGGTAATTATTATACTACGCCACTTTCCATAGAAATCTATCCTGTGTGTCATCTTATCATTCAGTAAATAGTGTCGATCATAGTTCTGACCTGCTAAGGTTACGAAGTGGTAAGGCCAATTCGATGCTATCGTATGATTTACAAAGATCGAGCAAATAAAGTAAACGGGCGTTGAGTTCCTTATGAACGCGGAGCCTTCACGGACGGACGTTCAATAGCATTTGACGTACGTTTCGCCATACTGTCCAGTCTTTGTTGTTATTAGCAGATAGCCATATCGAAGTGATCAACGACTCTCGCTGCTATCACCTAGAGCAATGCAGGGTGGCCATTATAGTCAACTAAAATAGCGTACGACAACGAGGCCAGCATGAACATCGACAGCGTACTAAAGCTGAACAGAGCAAAATTGTACAATAACCCTTGCCGCTGCCGTCGATCCTCGTCCATTGACTGACTCGAACCCGTAAGAAAATCATCTTACGTTCAACGGCTGCGTTGAATAAACGGCCTCCTATGTGCATGGCTACTGCGCGAGGTTACAACCAACTTTCGTTGAACTTCTTTTTCAGAAAAAGCGTGCCAGAACTAAGCTGACTTTAAGCTATCGTAGAAATGAGAAAAGCTTGCTCTAATATATATATATACACGAGCTTCTTTTTCGGTGCGGCGCGGCCACCTCGATGATAGCAACGCTTATGACGCCGCCAGCAGCGTTCATGGCAATGATGATGGTACCGAGGAAGAGAATGAAATCAACGGGTGACGCCAGCAGCGAACTATGACGTCGCCGATGGCCTCGTTATATTGACTGCCTGCTAGTGTGAATGGATGCTACTTTCGAAAGATCAACTGATATTGTAATGGTAGTAGTAAAAGCAGAAGTACTAGTATAAGTGAGGTTAACAGCTGTGGCAATAGTAGTCCCCGAACTTAATCACGATACGTGTTTCTCACCAGCTCATGCCGTTGGTTAGCAACATAATTCAGTTTCTAATACATAGCCCGTCGCCATGTACAAGCTGTTACACGCGCATACATATAAGATGATAGGGATACTTTGGTGTGGCATCACAGATGCTAAATACAATACTCACAATGTCAAATTTTGCCTGAAGTAATTGTGAAGTACACCTCGGGCTACTGCAACATGTCTACATGATATACAATGGAATATTGTCCTGCGATAGTTTAGCAGAGCTTCGACTTCAACTGGCCGACGGCAGTAACAATGGCGACGCGGATCGTTCTGTGACGTTTATCCGTCGACTTGGGATACTCGGTCACCGGCCTTTATCAATTTGCGGGCACGTTGTCACTGTGCTTGTTTTGATATGGTCAAACACAACGACGAATGAACGCCCTGCAGGCACGATCGAGTCCTACCTCACTTGCTCCAGGGTCGCTGTGCCGAGATCGTTTTAGCCGGATTTTTTTAGCTAGCTTGCCGCTCCCCTCTTGTTCGTCTTTTTTTTTTTCGCGTCCGCTGTCAGCATCGGCAGAAGCAATCAGTTGCCGGCCAAGTACTGTTCCAGCGGCCACAGTGGCTGTACTGCCATCAGCTCGAGCGGCGCTGTGCGAATTCGCCGGTGAAGTCTTCAGCGTTGCCGCTGTTGTTGTTATTGTTGTCGTCGTCGTCTTTGTTGTTTTGTATTACGCAGCTCCACTATCGGCCTGGCCTATCTGAACGTCTATTGCGCATGATTGTGGCTATGGCTCCTGTCATAGCTGTGGTGATTTCTAGGGAGGAAATAAAGCCTTACTCCAGAACAACACTTTACCTGATCTGCCAGCGCAGATATCAGCGGCTGGGCGCGCAACCAAAATCCGACAGGCGGAGTTCGACCCAGTAGAATAAATAACACAATCGACAGCGGCGACTACAGCAATCGGAGCCAAAATAGCGACAGTCGCAAGAGACCGACAACGACGTTATCGCTCCATGGCGCGGGAACGTCTCGATCGGCGCATTTCGTCGGGCTTCAAAGTAGTCAGCACCACTAGCGTCAACGGATCAGCAGCGATTGGTTCTGTTTAATCTGGAGATGCAATTCTTCGCGTAAACAAAGCGCTACCTCTAGCGCTGTCGCGGCGGCCGTTACGGCGGCAGTCACCGTTACGGTCGCCATTCGTTTGGACCTGCTCTGCTCTCCCTCGATAGTGACAGCTCGCAATTTTTCTCTCGTTTTTCTCTATCCCGAGATCTGCAGGCCCATATCTGCCGCATCTAACCGCTATTGGTATAGCAGGACATGGACACCAGCCAGAACAGAGAAGTCAAGTCGACGAAAGGGGATTGCAATGTCGTTAAATTAATGGTGGTAACGACTATTATCGTTAAACAACATGGAAGAGTGCTTGATGTTGTGCACTTGTTTGTCTGTTTAATAACGACAATGTCAAACCATTCATCTTGAGGCTAAGTGGTAAGAGCGCGGTCCAGTCATGCCTATCGCTGGCGACATGTTTAATTGTGTTGACTTTTTTTGAGCCGTCGTTACTGCCGCTGACCGACTGACTGATTGATTCATTAACGGAGCATTTAGCTAAATGCTCGTTCTGACGCTGCGCTGTCCTTGCCTTATGGATACTCAGGCGGCAGCAGCAGCAGCAACAATAGTGCTTAAACGGCGTAACAACGGCAAAGAACCCACGGCAACAGTAATGTAGCAGACCTTGGAATCACGTAGCTATTCTTTGCAAAGCATCAGTTGGTTCGTCGACAAAAGAGGGCACTGCCTATTTTCTATAGCGTTGCCTGTCCTTAACCTCCGGTCCTCGGCTGCGTTCAGAGAACCCCAATGTTCATCCTATAGTATTACTATTACTATTTGCTTTCCGCACGTGCTCCAGGCTGCTGCCTATACTCGCTGGTTTTCTCCGATACTGCTGTTATTTGCCTTATTGGTTACTTTTGTCATTGCATTCGTTGCGATTGACGAGTCTCGTGCCATTCGACCGTTATTGTGTGTACTATACGTATAAGGTACCGGTTTTGCTCCAAGAGCTCAAACACTTCGCTACCGCGTATACGCGTAGAGCCAACAGTGGTGATTTGTCGGCCAAGACGGCTTCCATTACAATCGTAGAGATAAAACGGCAGCCAACCAGTTTCAGCTTATTCTTTCGTCGTATTTGTGCCAACTCTTATGTACAATATGATTGCAATCGAAGAGCCGCCGATTGCTAGGAAGTTATACGTTAAAGTGGCCTCGCCCTCAGAGACAGCCACTCCCACTTGTCGATGACTCCGCTGCGTCATCTGCTGCCTACGATCGACAGCGTTTAGCGATGAATGCTCTACTGCTACGAAAAAAAAAACAAAAATAAGCGATGCGATCCATCGTAAGAGCTGATCCGCCATCCTGAAGGGTAGTTTGAACAGCTTGGCCCACACACGAAAAAAATCTTTGCACTACAGTTTCATGATTAAATTAAAACTAAACAGAACTATGAACTTGTCTAAACAGAACTATGAACTTGTTCGCACGTTTCCCACGCGCAGAGACCTTACATAATTCCACTAGGTGGGTTTAACCAGTGGCCCATGTGTGTGACGAAGTTGAAGAGCAGTGAATCATGCAAGCAGCGTGCATACAAGTGTTACTAAAGAAGCTGATCAAATTATTAAGTGGAATTTTGCCTATACACTGCTAAATGTATTTTCATTTTTGGTTGTTGTCTGGGCAATCTATGGTAGTTACAAATCTCATGTCCGTTTTATATGGAAACTAACAGATGCTCAATTGTTGTCTCAACGTAGACGTCAGGAACGCACGCCTAAAATCGAGCTACGATTCTACCGTTGATGTCGTGCCACCACACTAGGCGTTTGTTTGAGTCTGATGACGACACGGATGGTAACAGCGGATAATAACTCAAGGTAAAGTGGTAACATCTCGTTGATGGATCACCTCGTTGATTATTCGTTCCACGATTCAGATGACAAGTAATAAAGAGAGCAATACTTTATGCTGTAATTAGCAGATTTTCGAGTTGATTGTACGCAAGGGCGTATGTCAGGACCTCCGCTTAAAGAAGTATCGCCATGTGTGGGTGGACACGGCGCCTGCAGAGCGGCACTTGAGTCGAGCCGCTTTTAGACATTAGCTGGCTTGCGTATGTTTCTATAGCTATTACCAGGGCCACACCTATACAAATCGATGCAGATCGATCAAAGATGTGGACAGTAGACGAGGATCAAAGGGACAAAAAGAAAAAGCTAAGACAAGGAGACAACGCTCTGCGATGCAAGCGAATGGGTCTATGCGCAGGTGATAAGAACAATCAAGTGCGTCTTGGCTCATCCAGCACACCGCTAGCTGGGTGCTTGCACTTAAGGCAGATGAACTGCGTTGAGAGGCTAGCTAGCTAGGTAAAATTTGTACTAAATATGCTAGTGCTACAATAGCCGCTCCTGATAATTGTGCAAAGGCAAATAGTACGGCGATGGCCAGCCCGATCAAGCCAGGCACTCCGTCATAATTAAACGTCTGATCAAAGTAATGCCTGCTTTGTCACCGCTACCACCGATTCCAACATCTAAAGGGCCGAAGAAATTATGACAGACTTTATAAACGATAAACTCGTTGCCAGGCGACTGTACCAGCAGAGCATGCTAGATGGATACCTTGATTTGGGTTACGTCGTTTGCTAGCTCTTATCGCTCGTTGTCGCCATTGATCGTACGTTCAGGACCCCCTACCAGTGTCGCGCTCTGCCCTCAAATGACTTGGCGTTTTAGCAACTTAGTAATTCACCTGTTTGCCCCGTGATTTTCGTGCTCCATCCATTACATGACCTGATACAGCACGACCTGTATATTCAATTCGTGTTAGTTGTTGCTATCTTCTCGTTGTGCCATCTTTTTCCTCTTCTGCAATTCTGACCCTCACCCTGATTCACTCGTTTTCGCTCTATTTATTCCTTATCGGAGATCT